AAAATTGAATTATTGGGGTTCTTTGATATGCCAAATCTAACCGTGTTTTAGATTTTTAATTTGGGTCCCGTTTTTTAAATTGGTCTTCATTGAGGTCCAAAGGGTCCAAAATTAAACTTAGTTTGATTTTAACAAAAATTGAATTCTTGGGGTTCTTTGATATGCTGAATCTAAACATGTATTTAGATTTTTGATTATGGGCCCAGTTTTCAAGTTGGTCCAAGTTGGGGTCCAAAATTAAACTTTTTTTGATTTCAACAAAAAATGAATATATGGGGTTCTTTGATATGCTGAATCTAACCATGAATTTAGAATTTTTATTTGTGGGCCCCGCTATCAAATTGGTTCATATTGAGGTCAAAAGGGTCCAAAATTAAACTTTGTTTGATTTCATCAAAAATTGAATTATTGGGGTTCTTTGATATTCCAAATCTAACCGTGTATTTAGATTTTTAATTTTAAGTCCTGTTTTTTAAATTGGTCTACATTAAGGTCCAAAGGGTCCAAAATTAAACTTAGTTTGATTTTAGCAAAAATTGAATTCTTGGGGTTCTTTGATATGCTGAATCTAAACATGTGTTTAGATTTTTGATTATGGGCCCAGTTTTCAAGTTTGTCCAAGTTGGGGTCCAAAATTAAACTTTGTTTGATTTTAACAAAAATTGAATATATGGTGTTCTTTGATATGCTGAATCTAACCATGTATTTTGATTTTGGACATTGGACCATAATAGGTAAATTAAAAAAATTCAAGTTCTTAGACCACATTCTTTCTGTGTCAGAAACCTATGCTGTGTCAAATATTTAATAACAATCCAAATTCAGAGCTGTATCAAGCTTGAATGTTGTGTCCATACTTGCCCCAACTGTTCAGGGTTCGACCTCTGCGGTCGTATCAAGCTGCGCCCCAGCGAAGCATTTTATTTTAGTTAAAATATCTCCTTATTTGACTTCTTCAAAATATTTCTTATTATAAAAAAGATAATATAATTATATTGTAACCTTAAACAGGCAAAAACAATAATATTGCAAACCATTTCCCTGTTCACTGCCAGTTAAAATGATTAACAAAGTCCTGTCAAGGTTACATAATGTATGTTGTTGGAAAGGGAGAATAAATCAACTCTTTTGATAAAGCATGTATCATGTGTCTTGATCTCTGAAGTGATAATGAAGCTGTCCTTTGTGGAAATTATAACAGAAATAAATACATGTTGTATGGAGAATACATAGAATTAGTACTGCCAAGGTCTCCTTAAGTATATATATTTATAACAGAAGAAAAATTGTCATATAAATAACTGTTGTTAACTTTATAAATACATATAGTGATATCACTCATATCACACATCCAAGTGTTTGTATAGTGTACAGGAGGTATTTTGAAGTACATATACTTCCATACAAGGAAGTCCTCAGGCAACTGTCATTTGGTTAACAGTATACTTCATCAGATTTTGTTTGTATTTTACATTGTAAGTTATCAATAAGTAATGAACATGTATCTCTGTATCACTTACAATTGTGTTGCTGATTTTGTGGTGATAAATGATTAAACTTTCTCAGATTACTGCGTAGCTCTAACATGTCTAATAGCAGTCACTATGGTAACTGGAATAGGTATATTGACTTTTAGGCACTCAATGCAGATGGAGGATCCCAAATATATAATTTTTATGGGAAAGTCAAAGATCAGAGTAAAGTATACATGCATATAGACAATTTCTATAGAAATATATATAAGTGGTGGTCCAAGTGGCAAGTCTGTTTGTTTTTCTTGTCATTGGATTGATTGATTGATTGATTAAATTGGAGCAGATTTTTCATCAACAATACATCATATTACATATATTAAGGAGAACAAATTAAACAATATTAAGGTTACTGTTACCTGGTAAGTTCTGTAAAGTGTGTCAACGTCAACCTGAAATTTAAACTGCTACTTGAAAAGAGTATAAAATTGAGAATGGAAATGGGGAATGTGTCAAAGAGACAACAACCCGACCATAGAACAGACAACAGCAGAAGGTCACCAACAGGTCTTCAATGCAGCGAGAAATTCCCTCACCCGGAGGCGTCCTTCAGCTGGCCTATGCATGTTATAAGATAAAAAAAAAAGTAATGTGCACAATTAAGTCAGACCAAAGAAAGCAATTTATTCACTTGTAACAATATTTCAGAACATTAAGAACAACCTAATTATAATAGAATCGTTATTATACTGTAGAAAAGAAAATTCAAATTTGCTATTCAAGAATGCACAGTACAGTGTACTATATTTAACATGTTAAGTAATAATGAAATCAGTTACTTTTACATTGATATTAGACATTGTTCTAAGTATTGATACATGTAGATTCCATACAGCAGTATTAGGAACAATGTATAAAAAATGACAAAGTGTAAAAAAAATTTATACATTCAAAATATAAGGCTTGAAAGGAAAAAGAAAACGGTGACGTTACTGTACATGCTGTATATTTCATATTGTAAATTTTCAAATTGATATTTCTCCAAAATACAAGGATCAATTGTCAAAGAGTGGTATATACCTATAATATATTCTCGTCTAAAGTTCTAAAAAGTAACAATGCTATAAGATGTTGCATTTATATCCATTTGCATGCGTCACAGTCAACAAACATTTGTAGGCAAAAGATTCCAAACATTATCAAGTATGCTTTCTAGTACTAGTTCTGTTAATGAACCTTTACTGTATTTGAGTTAGCTGCAGTGACTTACTTGTACCAGTACAATATACATGTCAAATAATTTTCTTGATATACTTAAATGCTGTGACTTCAAGAAGGTTTTTAGGAATATAAGGGCACTAATTCATAGAGGTTCTTAAGTTAGGAGAACAAGGGGAAGATGTACGCTTATTAAATGCTAATCTATACTACTAAAATAACGAGGTCCAATTTGTTAGCCAGCATGACGTAAAAAATGACGAATTAAAGAATTCAACTTTATATAACTAATATAGGACAATGGTGTTGTTTAAAAATTACACCATTCCAGACCCTTTTGTTTTCTACATAATTAATATTACCAATAATTAACAAGTTTCAGGTTGAATCCGATACCATGGATACCGATACCAAAAGTATATTTCGCATGTAGTTTCAGGTTGTATTTACCTGTTACCTTCTGTAAATCCCTCCTATGTCAGGAGAACCCGGAATTCTTCCAGTAGTTGTTTTATACATATGTTACATTATAGTACACTATTTAACAAGTCTGTCATCTTCCACCTCAATACCATTATTAATTTTGGTTAATTAGTCAAAAATTAAATTTAGTTTATTGTTGTAAGAAAACCAGGACGGGTTCAAACAGAAAGATGGGTGTTCTAGTAATCTTTAAAAATAATTTCAATGCGATATAAACAAGGAATTATTTGAATCTGGAATAATTTTGAATTCTGGAAAATTGATGAGAAATATATGATGAAAACTAACCCAACTAAATAGGGTTAGCCATGCGCACATGGCTAAGGGGGGTTAGTTAGTTCATACTGAAATGATAGTGAAAGTAAAATTAACCTTAGCCATGCATGCACGCATGGCTAACCCTATTTAGTTGGGTTAGTTTTCATCATACATTTCTAATCAATTTTCCAGAATTCAAAATTATTCCAGATTCAAATAAGTCCTTGTTTATAGCCTTTTGTGCTAAGGTGGAAAAAGGCAAACTTCAATCAATCAAAATGGGATTATTAAAGTCAAATGAAATCCATTTGTGTGCTAAGGTGGTAAAAAGAAAACATCAATCAATCAAAATAGGATTATTAAAGTCAAATGAAATCCATTTTTGTGCTAAGGTGGTAAAAAGAAAACATCAATCAATCAAAATAGGATTAGTAAAGTAAAAATAAAATCCATAGTTATTCTACAAAGGTCAGAGTAGAATGGTGTTCCATTCTGATCATGCAAATGCATGTTTTGCAAATAATACTTTGAAGAAATATAAAAATCACAAAGGGAAAAAACAGTGCTTAATCCTATAACCTTTCCTGTCAGGATATTTTGAATAAAATTACTTAGTCATGTAGGTACTAATTACTATGATCAGTTGAACAAGTTAATAATCATAATGAAAAACAAATTATTTTGAAAATCTATGTAAAATTGATACTTGCAAAGGAGAAATCAGCTGACCCCATAAATTTTTTATTAAAGATCAATAGTTCTGAAATATTGGTTTAATATTACAATTATTGATTCTAGGTATATTAAGGTAGTTTGCAGTAAAGAAAATAATTAGTAATCAAAACCACTTTTATATTGAATCTTGCATACTCAAGTTGTCAATTTTATTGACAATCGTTTTTCTTCTATAATAAAAAGAATTTAGCATGTTTGTAAGTTTTGATAAGGAGATAAATCCATGCTGTTGTGAAGAAGTTGATGATTCCTTTTAATACATGTACCACCTTTCTGTGTCATTCACCATAAAAGTTATTGTGTTAACAGCATGTAGACAGTTAAGTATAGATACCTGTGAAATTGTCATTAATTTTGTCCAATTTCATAATAAAATCATGTTAAAATCTGGTAGTAAACTTGGCATTGAAGGAGAACTATAATTTTAAAAATAGAGGTAGAAACGCATTACTTTTTCCTTTGTATTGTAGTTGGCATTAAGATTTAATAGAAATCATGATTTATTTTTACTTTGTATGCCAAAATGGCATTATGCATCAGTAGAAATTGTAAATTAATTGAGCTTTGTTTTTGATGTAATTGCTAATTTAATCAATTTCAATGTCATTTTCATGGTATGTGATTTGTAGCAATAATTCTGTAAATGTCACACATGTTTTACAGAGATTTAAATTATGTAATGATATGATCATACTTCCTGTTTTGTTTTGTGGGTAAACATGATACAAGATTTTTATTGGTACAGTAGGTAAGAGTACATTTTTACATCTTTATTTGATGTTTCTCCTATATAAATTTATCTGTCAAATTAAATTTTGTTCGTTTTCATTTCAGATAAACAGTCATGAATATAGGAACAGCAACAAGTGAAGAAAATCCAACACATGTGTACTTTGGTACTCGTGGGTTCTGGATAACATACACTATAATTGTGTTGTTCTGTCATTTCTTATTACTGAGTATGCCATTCTTCTCAACAGCTTTGGCATGGACAGTCACATGTGTATTTCACAGTGCGGTAAGTCTGTTATGACAGATTTAATAGTTGTAACAAATTCTCTTATTATCTACTTAATCTGTAATTAATCACTTAAAAAAAAAACATTTTGTAAATTATTTAATAAAGTTAGTACTTTAACTGGAACTGAATTTACTGTCACACAAGTCTAGCTCTTTCAAAAACCTTGTTCATGTTCAAAGCGCCTGACCTTAGTCAATGTTTCAATGATAATTATTTAGAAATGAAAACTTTTTTCAATATATATTCAATTTAGAGATGGGTACAATTAATCCACTGATCAACCATTTAATTTGCTTCGGGCAAAATTGTGGTGCTGTTGAAATAACGGGCACAATGAATTCAACAGTTGAATTCATTGTGCCAGTTATAAATAAGTAGACAATTATACCAGATAATTGGCCTACACACCTTTATATCACTATATGTATTCTTATAAGAAAGAATAGTCGCATAGTTTGTTCTGTGGGAAACTATTTTAAATGGTAAATACCCTCCAACACTGAGGATTAAATATGGTAATGAGAAATATAAGAGTTAGCAAACAAGTTTTATTTATCAGAAGTAGAATTCTCTTATTATGTACTGTGAACGAAATGCATTGTGTAAATAGAAGTCTTCTTTGATGAATTCACATATGATGGTCTGTGTACCAATTCACAGATTTACAATCCTGTTGCACAGTGAAAAAAAACAAAATTTTATAATTACCAGTATATGAATATTGTGAGTTTTTTAACTGCATGTGTTCAGATAACAATGATGCTCACAAGTAAGTATAATCAATACCCTCTTAAAACTAAAATAAAGTAGTTAAAAAGATGTTTGAACTACAGCCTTATGTCAAAAGTGTTCCACCTCTGGGAAATTTCAACACTTTTTTTGTAAAGCATTTTGAAAAACTTTTTTTAAGGTACTTTCAATGGATCTCGTTTAATAATAAATAGGAGTTATTGCTTACGAATGATGATTTGACCCTTTTTGCATATTTTGCACTAACTATAGTAGAGAGAGCGAATGTTTAAAAAAATATGTGAAAAATATTATGCAAAAACAAAATCTACAAAATAGTTAAGTTACCAAAATCCTCAACCCTTTAAAGAAGTTATTGCCCTTGAAGGATGATTTTTATACGACCACAAAAAATTTTGCTTTGATTCTTTATGTTGGGAGTTTTTGCTATAAGTATTACAATTTTTCATGCTATTAGTATTACATATACTGAATCTAATTGTGTAAACAAAATAATTTGGGGGGGGGTCCATTTTTCTTCAAGATTTAAGAAATTGTCAATTTTCCAAAGAAAAACTATGTGTCACAATTGCATATTCTTTGTATATCGTCTAAAAACAGATTTACTAAGTATTGCGCAACAGCACAGTGTATTGCACAAAAGCAATAAATTGAATATAAATTCAAATCATATAACCAATTCTAAGTTCTTTGACTACAGTTATTCTGTGTCAGAAACCTATTATGTGTCAAAAATTTAATTACAATCCAAATTCAGACCTGTATCAAGGGCGAATATTGTGTCCATTTTTGCCCCAACTGTTCAGGGTTGGACCTCTGCGGTCGTATCCAGCTGCGCTTGGCGAAGCAATTTATTAACCAATTTTTTGGCATATTTTGAATAACTATAGCAGACAGATAGAATTTTCAAGTAGTAGAAATGATCAGCAAAATAAGATCTACAAATAACTTGGCATGGCTTTATGGAAATCGTCATTTAAAGGAGTTATTACCCTTGAAAGACTTTTTTTCTAATTTTTAGCTCACCCAAATGGCCAATTCAGCTTTTCTCATCACTTGGGGTCCGTCATCGTTAACTTTTACAAAAAACTTCTCCTCTCATTCAAATTTGGCCACAATCATCATTGGGGTATCTAGTTTAAAAATATGTCCGATGACCCCACCTGCCAACCAAGATGGCCGACATGGCTAAAAATAAAACATAGGGGTAAAATGCAAGTTTTGTCTATTATTTTGAAAACCGTTATAAATAGAGAAAATCTGACAGGGCAAAAATGTTCATAATGTTGATCTTTACCAATTGTTCATATATGTCAAAACTGTCAGACGACTTTTTATAGGAGTTATTGTTCTAAAATGACAAATTTTACCATTTTTTTCATTTTTGCCTATTAACTTGAAAACTATAATAGATAGGGAGAAACTTCAAATTGCAAAAATGATCTGCAAAACAAGTTCTGCAAATAAATTTTTGCATGGTCAAATTGTCAGTCGACTCCTTATTAGAGTTATTGCCCTTTGATGACGACTTTTACCAACTTATTGCGTTTTTGCCTTATATATAGATAGATAGACAGCAAAACAAGATCTACAATTTAGACAATCTGGAGGAAATCATCTGACGACTCTTTATTGCCCTTTAATGACCATTTTTTTGCGTTTTGCCTTATGTGATAAAAATTATAATAGATAAATAGACACTTTAAATCACAAAAACAATCAGCAAGGCAAGATCTACTAACAAGCCAATATAGTTAATAAACTGTCACTTTTTATAGGAGTGATTGCCCTTAAATGGGTTTTTTTTTACCCTCTTTTGTGTTTTGAGCAAAAACTAAAGAAGATAGAGAGAAACTAAACAGACTAAATGATCAGCAATCCAAGATCAACAAAACAGATTTTTGTCATGAATTCTATTCTCATCTGCAATGTTGGAGAGTGTCCTTTGTTGAATATGCACATAGACCAAGGTGAGCGACACAGGCTCTTTAGAGCCTCTTGTTTTGTTGTTGGCAAGAACTATAAAAGAAAGAGAGAATTTGTCAACAGGAAAATAAGATCTTCTTATAAGTAAACATGGCTGAAATTTTTAATAAACTCCTGATAGGATTGCCCTTGAAAGACTATTTTTATGCCCCCGTCGTAGCGTTGGGGGCATTGAGTTTTAGCCTTGTCCGTCTGTACATATGTACGTACGTAAGCCGTAGCGTTGGGGGCATTAAGTTTTACCCTTGTCCGTCTGTACATACGTCCCAAAATTGGTTTACGTTCTCTAACTTGAGTTTGCCTCAACCAAATGTTTTGAAACTTATACACAATGATTATTACCACAAAACACAGATCAAGTTTGAATTTTGGTGGCATCACTTTAACATTTCTAGAGTTATGTTCCTTTATAAATGGAAAAATTGCAAAATTTTTAGTTTCCGTTCTCTAACTTAAGTTTGCCTCAACCAAATGTTATGAAACTTATACACAATGCTTATTACCACAAAACACAGATCAGGTTTGAATTTTGGTGGCATCACTTTAACCGTTCTAGAGTTATGCCCCTTTATTAATGGAAAAATTGCAAAATTTTTATTTTCTTCTAAAATATCAAGTAATTTTTATACGACCGCAAAAATTAAAAATTTTTTGGTCGTATATTGGTATGACGTTGGCGTCGTCGTCGTCGTCGTCGTCGTCGTCGGCGTCGTCCGGCGTCGTCCGGCGTCGTCCGAAGACACATTGGTTTTCGCACTCTAACTTTAGTTTAAGTGAATGGATCTCCATGAAATTTCACCATAAGGTTCAATACCACAAAAGGAAGGTTGGGATTGATTTTGGGGGTTATGGTACCAACAGTTAAGGAATTAGGGGCCAAAAAGGGGCCAAAAATAAGCATTTTTGTAACTTTCAGACAATAACTTGTGTGTAAGTGTATGGATCTCTCTGACATTGTACCACAAGGTTCCATATCACAAAGGGAAGGCTGTAATTGATTTTGGGGGTAATTGCCTCAAAATTTTAGGAATTAGGGGCCAAAAAAGGGGCAAAAAACAAGCATTTTTCTAGTTTCATGACAATAACTTGTGTGTAAGTGTTTGGATATTTCTGAAATTGTACTACAAGGTTCCATATCACAAAGGGAAAGCTGGAATTGAGTTTGGGGGTAATTGCCCAAAAGGTTTAGGAATTGGGGGCCAAAAAGGGGCCAAAAATAAGCATTTTTCTAGTTTCCAGACAATAACTTGTGTTCAAGTGTATGGATCTCTCTGAAATTGTACTGCAAGGTACCATACCACAAAGGGAAGGCTGGGATTGAGTTTGGGGGTGATGAATCATAAGGGGGTTCAAAAAATTGGGGGGGGGGATTTTTTTTTTTTTTTTTTTTCTTTTTTTCCTTTTTTTTTTCTTTTAAAATTTTCCATTTTAAGTTGGTTATTTCTGATTTATATTTAAAAGCAAATAATAATGATATGGTAGGAGATACACACCAAACAGGATGTGTAAATTATTATATAATAAGTATTGTGCAATAGCAAGAAATTTTCAATTGCACAGTATTGCACAATAGCAAGAAATCTTCAATTGCACAGTATTGCGCAATAGCAAGAAATCTTCAATTTAACAGTATTGCGCAATAGCAAGAAATATCCAATAGCACAATATTGCGCAATAGCAAGAAATTGTCAATTGTACAGTATTGCGCAATAGCAAGAAATATTCAATTGCACAGTATTGTGCAAAAGAAGATACTTCGTATAAATTGCTTATTTCTTGATCAATTTCAATGGGGTTTTATTCTTGAATTCTTGGGGTTCTTTAATATGCTGAATCTAACCGTGTATTAAGTTTTTGGATTTTGGTCCCCGTTTTTAAATTGGTCCACATTGAGGTCCAAAGGGTCCAAAATTAAACTTTGTTTGATTTCATCAAAAATTGAATTATTGGGGTTCTTTGATATGCCGAATCTAACCGTGTATTTAGATTTTTAATTTTGGGTCCCGTTTTTTAAATTTGTCTACATTAAGGTCCAAAGGGTCCAAAATTAAACTTAGTTTGATTTTAACAAAAATTGAATTCTTAGGGTTCTTTGATATGCTGAATCTAAACATGTGTTTAGATTTTTGATTATGGGCCCAGTTTTCAAGTTGGTCCAAGTTGGGGTCCAAAATTAAACTTTGTTTGATTTCAACAAAAATTGAATATATGGGGTTCTTTGATATGCTGAATCTAAACATGTATTAAGATTTTAGATTTTTGGCCCAGTTTTCAAGTTGGTCTAAATTGGGGTCCAAAATTAAACTTTGTTTGATTTCAACAAAAATTGAATATATGGGGTTCTTTGATATGCTGAATCTTACCATGTATTTAGATTTTTTATTTGTGGGCCCGCTATCAAATTGGTTCATATTGAGGTCAAAAGGGTCCAAAATTAAACTTTGTTTGATTTCATCAAAAATTGAATTATTGGGGTTCTTTGATATGCCAAATCTAACCGTGTATTTAGATTTTTAATTTTGGGTCCTGTTTTTTAAATTGGTCTACATTAAGGTCCAAAGGGTCCAGAATTAAACTTAGTTTGATTTTAACAAAAATTGAATTTTTGGGGTTCTTTGATATGCTGAATCTAAACATGTGTTTAGATTTTTGATTATGGGACCAGTTTTCAAGTTGGTCCAAGTTGGGGTCCAAAATTAAACTTTGTTTGATTTCAACAAAAATTGAATATATGGGGTTCTTTGATATGCTGAATCTAAACATGTATTTAGATTTTAGATTTTTGGCCCAGTTTTCAAGATGGTCCAAATTGGGGTCCAAAATTAAACTTTGTTTGATTTCAACAAAAATTGAATATATGGGGTTCTTTGATATGCTGAATCTTACCATGTATTTAGATTTTGTATTTGTGGGCCCGCTATCAAATTGGTTCATATTGAGGTCAAAAGGGTCCAAAATTAAACTTTGTTTGATTTCATCAAAAATTGAATTATTGGGGTTCTTTGATATGCCAAATATAACTGTGTTTTTAGATTTTTAATTTAGGGTCCCGTTTTTTAAATTTGTCTACATTAAGGTCCAAAGGGTCCAAAATTAAACTTAGTTTGATTTTAACAAAAATTGAATTCTTCGGGTACTTTGATATGCTGAATCTAAACATGTGTTTAGATTTACCATGTATTTTGATTTTGGACATTGGACCATAATAGGTAAATTAAAAAAATTGAAGTTCTTAGACCACATTCTTTCTGTGTCAGAAACCTATGCTGTGTCAAATATTTAATCAGAATCCAAATTCAGAGCTGTATCAAGCTTGAATGTTGTGTCCATACTTGCCCCAACTGTTCAGGGTTCGACCTCTGCGGTCGTATCAAGCTGCGCCCAGCGAAGCATTTTATTAAAATTGGAGTTATCTTCCTTTGTCTATGATTATAGTTGAATCAACTACAATCAATGCTTTATACAATGCAATGTTTAATTTTTGACTTCCACTGATAAAACACAGATCAAGTTGAATTTGGGTAGTGTCACTTTAACCATTATTGAGTTATGCCCCTTTATAAATCGAAAGATTGCAAAATATTTGGTTTCCATTCTGTAAGTTAAGTTTGCCCCAACCAAACATTATGAAACCTATACATAATATTCATTACCACAAAACTAAGATCAAGTACAAATTTTTGTTTCTGTTTTCTAACTTTAGTTTGCCTCAACCAAATGTTATGAAACTTATACACAATGCTTATTACTACATAATACAGATTAAGTATGAAATTTGGTGGCAACACTTTTACAATTCTTGAGTTATGTCCCTTTATAAAAATAAGAATTGCTGAATTTTTCGTTTCCGTTCTCTAACTTTAGTTTGTTTCAACCAATGCAAATATTATAAAACTTATACACAACTGTTCTAGAGTTATGCGTGTTTACAAATAGAAAAATTGCTGAATTTTTAGTTTCTGTTCTCTACTTAAGTTAGCCTCAACTAAATGTTATGAGACTTACACACAATGCTTATTACCACAAAACTCAAGTTCAAATTTGGGTAGCGTCAATTTTACTGTTCTTCAGTTATGTCCCTTTATAACTATATGATATGCAAGCGGGGGCATCATCTATGTGACTGTCCACATGTGGACATTTTCCACATTTATTTCCATTTATGTCTCGCCTGTGAGGAAAGTCGCAGTATGTGAGACATAGGTCACATGTAGGTATTACTATCCTGCGGCAGTGGCGTAAACTATTTGTATGAAGCTTTATATTTCAGAAGGTAGAATACCTGAATGCTTCATACCTTGTATGCAGATACCTTATGTTACGAAGTTTTGGTCTGTTATATGTCCATTGTCCTTGACCTCATTTTTATGGTTCATAGCTATAGACTGCTTGAAAAAAAATTACATTTTTTTTTGTCATTTGAATTTCTCACTTATTATGAGTAAAAGGATAACTATACTTGGTATATGGGTTCCTTGCAACGTCTACATGTCTGTCAGACAGAGTTCACCTGACCTCAACCTCATTTCATGGATCAGTCATCAAGGTTGAAGGAACATTATTAGGTCCGTTTCACAGATACTATAAGCAGTAGGTCAATTATTTGTAGTGTATGGAATGATTGTAAGAGGTACATGTCAGTCTGACAGGTTTCATCTGACCTTGACCTCATTTTCATGCATGGTTCATTGGTCAATGTTAAGTTGTTGTGTTGTGGTCTGTTTTTCAAGTAATATGAGCAATAGGTCAACTATATTTGGTGTATGGAATGATTGTAAGGTGTACATGTTAGGCATGCTGGTATTATCTGACCATGACCTCATTTTTATGTTTCATTGGTCATTTTTAAGTTTTTATACGACTGCAAAAAAATTTTTGTGGTCGTATATTGGTATGACGTTGGCATCGTCGTCGTCGTCCGGCGTCGTCCGAAGACACATTGGTTTTCGCACTCTAACTTTAGTTTAAGTGAATGGATCTCTATGAAATTTTACCACAAGGTTCAAGACCACAAAAGGAAGGTTGGGATTGATTTTGGGGGTTATGGTACCAACAGTAAAGGAATTAGGGGCCAAAAATAAGCATTTTTGTAACTTCCAGACATAACTTGTGTGTTAGTGTATGGATCTCTCTGACATTGTACCACAAGGTTCCATATCACAAAAGGAATGCTGGGAATGATTTTGGGGGTAATTGCCTCTAAATTTTAGGAATTAGGTGCCAAAAAAAGGGCAAAATACACCGCATTTTTCTAGTTTCATGACAATAACTTGTGTGTAAGTGTATGGATCTTTCTGAAATTGTACTACATGGTTCCATATCACAAAGGAAAAGCTGAAATTGAATTTGGGGGTAATTGCCCAAAAGGTTTAGGAATAAGGGGCCAAAATAAGCATTTTTCTAGTTTCCAGACAATAACTTGTGTTTAAGTGTATGGATCTCTCTGAAATTGTACTGCAAGGTACCATACCACAAAGGGAAGGCTGGGATTAATCTTGGGGGTAATTGCCTAAAAACTTTTGGAATTAGGGGCCAAAAAGGGGCAAAAAACAAGCATTTTTCTAGTTTCAGGACAATAACTTGTGTGTAAGTGTATGGATCTTTATGAAATTGTACTACAAGGTTCCATATCACAAAAGGAAAGCTGGGTTTGAGTTTGGGGGTAATTGCCCAAAAGGTTTAGGAATAAGGGCCAAAAATAATTTTTTTTCTAGTTTCCAGACAATAACTGTGTTCAAGTGTATGGATCTCTCTGAAATTGAACTGCAAGGTACCTTACCACAAAGGGAAGGCTGGGATTGAGTTTGGGGGTGATGAATTATAAGGGATAAGGGGGTTCAAAAAAATTTTGGGTGGGGTGATTTTTTTTCCTTTTTTTTTCTTTAAAATTTTATTTCTGATATGTACATAAAAGTAAATAATAATGATATGGTTTGAAAAGGTAAATTAAAATTTTTTAAGTTCTTAGACCACATTCATTCTGTGTTAGAAACCTATGCTGTGTCAAATATTTAATCACAATCCAAATTCAGTGCTGTATAAAGCTTGAATGTTGTGTCCATACTTGCCCCAACTGTTCAGGGTTCGACCTCTGCGGTCGTATCAAGCTGCACCCAGCTTTGGTTATTATCTTGAAAACTGTTATAAATAAAGAGAAATTTAAACAGCAAAACTGTTCATTAAAGTAATAGCTACCAATAATTCTCTAGTTTTGTAGTTCTGATACAAATGTACTTAAGATTTGTGGTAGCTCTCCAAGAGAAATTTTGTAAATTTTATTGACAATTGAAATTTGTAATTCAAAGGTATTTTATGTAATAAGTGTAACACATACAAGCAAATAGAGTTAATCTGAAGTTGCATGATCACATGCAGTTGTTGTTAAAGAATTTTACCATATCTTTTCAGTTTACTTATATAATGTTGCATAACACAAAAGGAACCCCATTTGGCACCCCAGAACAGGGGAAGGCAAGAACACAGACAACATGGGAACAGATTGATTGTGGACAACAGTTTACACCAACGAGAAAATTTTTGACTATTGTGCCTATAGTTTTGTACGTATTGATGTTATTATTAGGTTTTCCATTAGTTTAGATATAGTAGTATAAAGCAGAAAGCTGTCTAAAATGAAGTCTTATATCCTCGACCAGTCTTAACAATTAACCACAAGCCCCAAGGACCAGGCCAGTAAAATTGTTGTCAGGGCAATATCAATTACAGAGATTTTATGAAAGACTGAATTTCAGGCTTTTAAGTCAAAAAGTTTTTTGTGAAGACTGCTGAGGACATAGGATGAATACTCTTTTGTAACAAAACAGTGTAATTTATTACTTGACTAATCTAGACAAAATATTCAGTCCCATAGGGGTTTTAATTAGGGGAGTTTCAAAGTATTACCTATTCCCTTACAGTCACCAGTAGTTGTAAGTCATAATAGATATTTATACCTAGACACAATTATAAAGGATGTAACATTTGTTTACCTGTCTATCAGTCGGTGTGACCATTATTACTATGCTGTCGCCAGTATAGTATATAGTACATCTTTGTTGAATCCTCTTTGAATTTAAATGAAAGTTTCTGCTAATCAAAACTGTGGATGAGTTCAATAATAACAAAATGGGGGATCTTTTCTTCAGAAGGGGGACTTGTAAAATTATCCTTATCCCATATTGCCACGCCACAGTAAAGCCTTCATTTTATATCAGAACCTCTTCACATCTTGATGAATGTTTCCACTTATCAAAAAATCTTTGATGAGTTTGATATTAAAAAAAAATCTGAAATTTGGGAGCATTTTTGGGACCTGCATAAAGATATCCCTTTTAATACTAATTGCTTTGATAGAAAAATAAGAAAATGTGGTATGGTTGCCAATAAAAACAACTCTCAACCAGAGACCAAATGACATAGAAGGTTAGCAACTGTAGGTCACCATACTACCTTCAACAATGATCAAAATGAATACCAGGGCTTGCATTTTCATAGCACTTCCTTGAAAATTGAATTAAGATTTCGACTAATGATTTCATTTTTCATAGCGTTTTCTTGAAAATTAATTTAAGTATAATTCAATATTAAAACCACCCACAGCTCATGAAACTGTCTTTTATAAAATGATATCTATGATATGCTATTCAACGTGATTGCCTTCACTATATAGCTGATTGCTCACTTTAAGTATATGTTTCATCTTGGTATGAACCAGTTAAAACCAGTTATCATTGTTCTGATAGTAACAGCATTATGCTGCACGCCAATCCCATGTATCCCATCATCGTTAGATATTTATCATACTGTGACGTATACCTATTTATTCAAATAACAAGTTATTATGTAATATATTAAGTCAATGTGGACTACTTGTTCAGATAGAATGCCATAAAAACAATAAAAACTTTTAATTACCATTATATTTATAATTGTCAATTTTACTATCTTGCAGAAATTATTATATGTTTATTCAAATGATCTTTACAGATTTTTTCTGGCAAGTTTCTATACCAAGTATGACACAGTACATTTTATCTTCAATCTTGGAGCCCTTGGATTAGGAGTTATACCAAAACTCCCACAGTTACATGGTGTGAGAATATTCGGAATTAACAAGTGGTAAACATCCAATCAGAATGCTTAACAACAAGTGGTGGACATTTCAATTGAGCAAGACATGCTTCTGATGTTTGCTTTTATCTATTTGTAAAACAAGTTCTGAATGTTTATTTGATAGTGCTTTGGTCGCCTTTAGAAATGTTAAACTTTAAGACCTTTTAAATTAATTGATCTTTGTATTTGTATAGATCATACTTGGTATTTTATGAATGTAAGTTTATAGGAATGGTTGTTTTTGTATGAAAATGTGATGTTGAAAATTATGGATGCTTCGAAGACAAGAATGATATTTTGTTGTATAATGTAGCAGAAATACATTGTAAAGGGCAAAAAGCTTTAGGGATTTGTGAAGTATTTTCCATTTGTGATAATCTTTTCTTCAATTTCTTTGGATGATATTAGAGTAATGGTATTTATTTATAAGGAAATGTCAGGTAAGATCTCTAGCTTCATATCAGATAAATGCATTGTTACAGGTAAAATGTATGTGACCGAATCGTGTTCTTGATTGGTTAATTTAGTACTACTAATTTTGTCAGTCATGAATTGTGTATTGTTATATTTATAGAAATGATTTAGATGTAGGTGCTTTGATGTAAATATTTAATATTTATAGGTATTTTTAGTACTGAACCTTACAAGGCAAAGACAATTTTAATGGACTATTTCTCATGCACTTAACAGTGATCTAGCTAGGAATAAGGGGTAGAGGGGCACAGTTTGGAAATGGCCATGTTAGTTGGGTTTGCTGTCTGAATAGGGGCAACTTGATCACATTTATAGATAAAATATTGGGATAATTAAATAAAATTTATGTAATTTTTTTTCTTAATATATAGTATTATGTGGTAGTTAAATGATATTTTTTGCATTGAACATATTTTTTTTCTATTCAGAAAACAATAATTCTTAAGGCAGCACTATAAGGGCAGAGCGAACTGTGCCCCTCAATTTGGGCTAGCTAGGACACTGCTCAGCATCAGGGATGGGCACGATTACTGACAAATGTAATCGATTAATAATCGATTACATGAAGGTATTTTGTGCAATCGATTAATAATCGATTACTCAGATTTTTGTATGTAATCGATTGCAATCGATTACTTTATCAAAAGTAATTACATTACTTTTTGATTACTGTCAATTACATGCTTCAAAATTAAAAACAAAAAAAAAGTAAGTTAAAAACTATTATGTTGATCAACGTTTGTATAGTAGATATTTAGAACTTTACCAAAAAACAGCATTTAAATCATTGTTTCCAAATTATTAGTTGACAGTTGTTATCTAGATGGAATCTCTTACTGAGGATCAGAATTATTTAAAAAAATCTTGAAATTTGACTTTCAACATGAATTAGAGATGACATTGCATTCCATCAATCACTTATATATATGTTTAAGGTTTTTTTTCAATAATTTTGCTTTCGTACTGACTTAAGGTAGCTTTTTTGTTTTTATTCATTAAAAGCAGGTATATTTTAGCATAGTTATTTACAATGTTGGAAGTTTTCTCTGAAGAAAGTATAAAAAAGTAGAATTATTAATTAGTTCAGCTAATTTTAAGGATCAAAATTTATAATTATAATGACAAACATGATTTAATCCTTTTGTTGGAAAACCACCTTAATTATAGGTTATAAAACTGCCAATGGAGTACAATTTATAACCTGGGGCAAAACATTGTAAATCTCCATCTTAATTAGACAAACAGTAATTGAAATAAAAACAAAGTATGTGTCTTATATAGTGATTAGAAGACTTTGATCATCTGATTAGTAAAGACAAGAAGTTTGTTAAGATTTTTTTATTCTATAATAAAATTATAAACAGTATATATTTATAGTGTCAACGAGGGATACATGTATCTTTTTCTGAAAAGAATTTCAATGCATAGGCATTGGTTCACTGTTAAAAGGATTTTGTGTACTTATTTTTTATATACATGTATATCATAACATTATAAGAAATCAACTGTTTATCTATTCTAAGCTTAAATCTTATTGAAAAGTATGCTTTTAGGAAATTTAATACAAATAAGCTTACTACTTTAAGGAAGTACAGAACTTAACTTAAGACAGTCATTTCTTATTTTAAATCTATTTTCTTATTTCAAATCTATTTTCTTATTTTAATATAAAAGGTGTTGACTTATTGACAAGCACATAAATCCATTTGTTTCAAAAGCTAGATATAAAGTAAATTATGGTAGGGGATCTGGTTGATCATAATGCAGCTTGAGACAATAGATAGAAATATAAAGGCAGTTGATAAACTCTTAAGTCATATCAGTACTTCAAAGTGATGAATACATAAATGTTTTCATTTAAAATAGGTTATATTTCATCAAACTATTTTACTAAAGTAATCGAAATGTAATCGAAAGTAATCAATGATTACATCATGATTTTTGCTGTAATCGATTAAATTACGATTACATGTAATCGAAAATGTCTTCGATTACAGATTACTGTCGATTACTGGAAAAAATGTAATCAATTACAATCGATTACGATTACAGATTACGATTACCCCATCCCTGCTCAGCATGCACTTACCAAAACATGTACAAATATGAATGTAGACTCGAAAACTTTTTTCATGATTTAAAAAAAAATGACAATTGCATTTTTAGGTGATGGAATACCCCATTTACTGTCTATTTTATAGGGATTAACATACATTATTCGTATCATTTAAAACATCTTGTTAGCTATAGTTTAGTTACAATAAACATGTATTAAAGATCAATGAAGATATAAAAAAATTGTACAATTACACAGAACTTATTTTATAGGCATTGAAGATATGTTGTTATTTACCAACAACTTTTACCACCAATTTCATAATATAATAATGTATTTAATAATTCTGGGAAATATACTTTCATCCTTGTAACAAAATAGTGAGTTATGATATACCCCTAAAAAGTGTTCAAAAATATAGTTGAAATTTTATATTTTTTGATTCAAATATTACAAAATCGGACTTTAATATCATGAACATGTCTTTTCTTGTTGTCAAAATTTCATGGAAAAAGTAATGTAGCAGCTTTTATGCCTTTTAAATCTAACTTACTTCAATGACTAAAATAAAAACAGATTTATAATGAAGAAATAGGATTAAACATTGGACTCATTAAAATTGAATTGTTATAAAAAGTACTAACTTACTATCTAAATTGTGCTGAGTTATCAGCTTTCAGAGTATGTGTGTGAAATCTGTACTTTAATATCATATGAAGATAAATGTTTTGCATAACAGAGATAAGTTTGTTAAATATTATTGTGGTGAAAGATATTGTCAATTTATTCTACCCATCTCTTTGGAATAATAAGGCCCCTGAGAAATGAGATAGAAGGGATTTTATTTGACTTCAGAATGACATAAAAGAAATTTTCTTTGCGTGAGTACAGATTTTTTTTTATTGAATGTGCTGCCTTCTTCATGTATATAGTTAATTGTACAATTAAAATGTACAGCAACAATCTCTTACCATTGTGAACTGAAAATGTATTCTATTCTTATATGTCTTAAATATGAAAGGGGGACTGCAGAGAAGGAAAGTTTACTTAAGATCTATCCAAGTTATAAACAGGCATTCCTTGAGAGATTTAGTAATAAAAATATTTCAATATGGGGACTATCATATCAACTTTTCTACAGTGAAATTATGTGTGGTACATGTACATTTACAAATAATGTCTTGCATACAACACACTTATTCAGTGTGATAATTGTTCAAATTGATTCTACAAATAAACATATACAGGTTGCACTACTGTAAATATAGACAATGCAATTTCCCATAGGAACTCCTTTTACGGCTAAAACTGTGCCATTTTTACTATGAAATTTCCTAAAAAATTATATCCTAGAATGAAAAGTTCATATGCACTACAATTTTTTTCAAAGGTCAAAACATAGGGCTGTGCGGCATATTTTCAACATTTATATGCCCCCAACTTCTAAGAGTTTAAACATATACTAAAATTCTGTACTACCCCTCCCTTCACTTTGGGCCTTCCTCAGAATTCAATTTGACTGCTATCCATGTGTATTTATACTGGTAACATTCCCAAGTTATGTCACTATGAGATGCAACATAGAGATCATATCCGGGAACCAGTATGTAAACAAAACAAAATATCTATGAATATTATATATCTCCCCAAAAGAGGTGTGGTTTGTGAAACAGCTGTATTTACAAAGTGCAACCTACAGTGACCTGTTTTTATCTTTAATCAATATTTGTCTCATTTGCACCACATCTTTGCATTTTTATCATACTGATAGGTTAGGCATATAAATATGTTGAGAGTTTATTAGTTTTTTTTTAATCTCATCTGTCCTTTTTGAATCTCAATCAAGATAAAAGAAATGCTTACAATAAGGATTAGCTAAAAAAAAGTATTTAAACTATAGTACTACATTTATGATAGACAACTAAAACTGGAGCAGGAAGCTCAAGGGTCTTTACAGTGTAATTTGAAATCATTCTGTTCTTCACTCTTTCAAAACATTTCTGGTACTGCATTAAGAAAATCTGGTATTTTTGCAATTATAAGATTTCTTTCAAGGAAAAAAAATCCACACATCACAATTTAAAGAGGGCACTCGTTTTTCTGTGTCACTTCTCTGTCTTCCAGATCAAATCAATCCATATGGATCTCTACCCTAAAGGTAGTATACACACTGTTGTTTGTTATCCTCCCTAATGATTATTCATTTTGGGTTAGTTGGGAAATAACTAGGAAAACCAAATGATTTCTGGATGTCCTTTCCATCATTACCATTGGTTTTGGATTTACCTACCTCTAATGTTATTACCATTGTCTCCCTTTGTATCTACCCAATTTTACAAATGTTATTGTACAAGGACGGGAAAATTCAATTTCCATGAAATTCTATCAGAGGTCTCTGAAAAACATTTATGATGGTAGTTTGAATCATGAGAATATTTTATGTACATATTCATTTAAACTGAAACTTAGAAAATATAGAGAATGAGATTGTCTATGCTGTATTTAAGAATATCTATTCAAACTGTCTTTGCTGGTTACTTCTAGTTCAATAGAAATATTCAGGGTCATAACTTAATAAACTAGAGGCATTAGTCACATGATGCATAGGTTAAGGAATCCAAGGGGATAATTGCTCTTTGAAAATTTTGGACATAACAGTAGTTAAATGAATCTAAACTGGACCTTTAATTGCATATTGATTCTCAAGCATTGCATGAGTACAAATATTTTAATATTATGTTGTCTCAAAAAGATGTAACAATGTTGTTGAAATGATTTTATTCTAAAGAAATGACAGAACATCAATGTAAATGAGAGAGTTATGGTCTTTAGTATCATCATTTAATTGTAAATGAATTTAACATCTAGCATTTTAACCAGATATTATATTCATACACCTATAAATGGTATAATTAAGCTTGATCTAATTGTTATTGAGATTGATTTTGTTTTAGAATGTAGATATAATTGTAAATACATGAAATATATAAAAACACCCTTGCTTGTTTTTCTTATATTTGAGGTATAGAAAATTTCAGACATTTTATTGTATGAAAACTATCGCCATTTTGACATGTTTTTTATGACTGTCAATTAACCAATTTTAAAGTTGTCTGTATATCATCTGGCTCTTAGCAAGCATAGGGAATAGTGTTCACATAGTATTATACACAATGTCAACTATTGCTATCACAACTATCATAAATGAAGATTGTTTACATACAAGACAATGTGTTTTGTAGGTTATTGGTCATCGCTACACTAACACTGTTGATTAGCAATTGGTGTCTCATTTTCATGTGTTCCTTTATTTATGTGAAATAGCTTTAAAAGTTTTTAGCTCACCAACCTTTGTGAGCTTTAACCATTTTATATAGTTTAAACAATAATCTTTCCTGCAGTCATAAATTATGCAACCAAATATTGTTGCCCTTCCAATATTGGTGGGAA